GCTGCCATGTGGCTATTTCGCCAGGATATGAGTTTTATCAATGGTGTCCTGCTTTACCAATGTTAAAATCTGGTCACCTTACTTTGAGGAAGCTCTTTAAAGAGCTCTAGGGGTTATGTGCTGGGCTGCTAACCACAAGGCCGGCATTTCAACACCACCAGCTGCTCTGTTGGAGAAGGAAGAGGCTTCCTACGAACCGTCGAAAGTGACAGTCTTGGAAACCCACAAGGACCGTTCTACCCTGGTCTCTACGAATCAGAATCAACTCAATGGCAGTGAGTTTGTGTTTGTCCTTTTATGGAAGGCCTCCGATGACAAATTCACTATCTCTAGAGTGGGGGTGGGGGAGGCTGAGAGGCTAGCCGCTTCCTGGAGAGAGGCGTGCTCTTGCGAAGGTGATGAGCATCCTGTGAGTGTGGTAGGCGGATCCTCCCGACACTTGAACTCCAGCAGCAGTCACAGGGAAACCATGTGAACACCCGAGAATCTCGGCGGCACAGTGCCAACCCACCCGCTTGTTCAAGGCACCCTACAGCTCTGCCGCCGCAAGGACGCTTTATGGTGCCCTTTTCTGAGCCCACCCGCCCCTCCCCCGGTCCAACCCTACCACGTGGATGCCATCACGAGTCTGGTCTCCATGTGGACAATGTGTCCTTTCAAACCTGAATGAAGGGGGCGGCCTTTGAGAATTGAGTTTTGGGGTTTTTTGCTTGGCGTAATTCCTGGACGACTGATGGAAGGCGTTACGTGGCTTGGTCGGTCCTGGCTTTTTCTCGTCGAGTAGCCGTCATGGGCCGTACACCCCAGCTCACAGTCTCATTTGCCTGTTGAAGGCCAGCGGGGGAAGCAGCCCCATCTGGCTTCAGCTCCCCGCCTTTCTTCTTCCTTATCAGACCTAATTCACGGCCGTGAGTCGATCCTGACTCAGCGACCCTGGTGCTGTAGGGCTTAACTTGAGCTGCTGACCTCCGAGTCTGACAGTTCTAGACCACCAGCCACTGCAGAGAAGGAAGAGGCTTTCTACTCCTATAAACAGGGATAGCCTTGGAAACCCACCAGGGCAGGCTGGCCCTGTCCTGTAGGGTGGCGAGGAGTCAGAATGGAGTTGATGACAGTGCGGTAACTGTACAGGAACAGAGAGCCTCCTCTTTCTCCCACGGAGCAGCTCGTGGGTTCAAACTGCCGACCTTGTGATTCGGCAGCCCACGGTGTCACCTTCTCCCACATACTGGCCAGTCATTCTCGACTCACTTTTCTAGTTGTCCTTGCCATCAGAGGCTGGCCTGAATCGCCACCTCCTCATTCACCACAAACGATTTCATCTTCCAGGTGCACGTTAAGAACCAATTGTTCAGAGCCACCCACATGACAAAGTCTACTCGCTGTTGACTGACACCTCTCTGCATGTCTAGATTCATTCAGGGAGAATGGGCCTGCTCACAATATTGGGTTTTCTACCCAAGAATATCCTTGCCATGGTTCCTATCTTCTCTTATAAGCCTTGTTCAAATTGTATTGCTTCCTTTATCAAAGTCCTGCATGTTTTTGGTTGAGTTTATCTCTGTGATTCTTTTTGCTTTTTAAATACTTCATTGTGGTTTGTTTGTTTTTTTTCCTGCACAAGTTGACATAGCAGTTTAGGCTCCCAGTCAAGAATTTCTACATGAATTGTTCAGGGTCATTGGTTACATCCTTCACAAGTGTGAACACGCTTAGCATTTCTGGTTGTTCTGTTTCTCTCTATCTAGTCTCCCAGCTCCTTTAAAGTCTCACCTGTGTTGTAGTCACTGTTGACCATCAAGTCGATTCTAAGTGCCATCAAGTTGATTCTGACTCATAACGATCCTATAGGACAGGACAGAACTGTTCCTGTGGCTTTCCAAGACTGTAACTCTTGATGGGAATAGAAAGTCCTGCCTTTCTCCTGGGAAGTGGCTGCTGGCTTCGAACTGCTGACCTTGTGATTAGCATCCCAACATCTAACCTACTAGGCCACTGGGGTCCTCATCGGTCTCAAGGAGGTGATTTTCTGTCAAAGGAGCACAGGGTGGTAATCTTTTGGATGACAATGGATGACAATGGGGTTTTGTTTGTTTTTAGCCAATTTAG